CAAATCATAATCAAGAAGGATAAGCTGCTTGATTTTCAAAACTCTTTAAGATTACATGAACTTTAATGTGGTGTCTTTATGCTTTCCAGACATAAATTCTGACCCTGTAGTGTTTTGGATGACTATGTAATTTATATAACAGACTCCACTGTTTCACTTCTTTAGCCTGCCTCATATTAAGTGAGCTGCAATAGCATTAATCATGTTTAATCATGATTTAAAGGCCTTGTATAATAGTCTACTATATCCCAGACAAATTATTTTAAATACAAATTGGATACTGCCCCCAATTTAGGAGAAACCCTCAAGGCCATACAGCAGGTGAAAATTGGCAAGGCAACTGGGGTTGACGGAATTCCACCCGAACTCTGGAAACATGGGGGCCTTGCACTTCACACCAAATTTCATGAGTTTGTGGTGCGCTGTTGGGAGCTCGGTGAACTACCAGCAGACCTTCGTGATGCAGTCATCATCACTTTGTATAAGAAGAAAGGTATCAGATCAGATTGCTCAAACTATCGTGGTATTACTCTGCTCTCCATTGCTGGAAAAATCCTGGCAAGAATACTCTTGAACAGACTAATACCCACTATTGCAGAAGGAATCCTTCCTGAAAGTCAGTGTGGCTTCAGAGCCAACAGGAGCACCACAGACATGGTATTTGTCCTCAGACAACTGCAAGAGAAGTGTAGGGAACAGAACAAAGGTCTCTATGTAACCTTTGTCGACCTCACCAAGGCTTTTGATACTGTGAGCAGAAAAGGTCTATGGCAGATTTTGGAACGTTTAGGTTGTCCCCCCAAGTTCCTTAAAATGATCATCTCACTCCATGAGGATCAGCACGGCCAAGTCAGACATGACAACACACTTTCTGAGCCCTTTTTAATTAAGAATGGTGTGAAACAAGGCTGCGTTCTCGCTCCTACCCTATTCACCGTCTTCTTTAGCATGATGCTCCAAAGGGCCACAGCAGACCTCGATGATCAGGACGGTATCTACATTCGATACCGTACTGATGGAAGCCTATTCAACCTGAGGCGACTGAAGGCCCACACCAAGACCTTAAACCATCTTGTCCGGGAGCTGCTTTATGCTGACGACGACGCCCTTGTTGCCCACACAGAAGCAGTCCTGCAGCGTTTAACATCCTGCTTTGCAGATGCTGCTGAGCTCTTTGGGTTGGAAGTCAGCCTAAAGAAGACAGAGGTCCTCCATCAACCTGCACCTCAGGAAGTCCCCCATCATCCCCACATCACCATCGGCCAATCAGAGCTCAAATCAGTCCAACAGTTTAATTACCTCGGTAGCCTCATCTCCTCTGATGGTAAGATTGACGGAGAGATAGACAACAGGTTAGCTAAGGCATATAGTGCCTTTGGAAGACTCCACAAAAGAGTATGGCGTAATAAACACTTGAAGAAAAGCACCAAGATCAGTGTTTACAAAGCCATAGTGTTGTCTACTCTCTTGTATGGTTCCGAGTCATGGGTCATCTACCGCCACCACCTGCGTCTCCTAGAACGCTTCCATCAACGCTGCCTCTGTTCAATCTTAAACATCCACTGGTCAGATTATGTGACCAATACTTCTGTTCTAGAGCAAGCAGCTATCACTAGTATTGAGGCCATGTTACTGAGAACACAGCTGCGATGGGCAGGGCACGTCTCAAGGATGAAGGACCACCGCCTCCCTAAGATCCTGCTCTATGGTGAACTTGCCACTGGCTGCCGCATGAGAGGAGCCCCGAAGAAAAGATACAAGGACTCCCTGAAACAACATCTCAGCCTTGGCCATATTGATCACCACAGCTGGTCTACTCTGGCCTCAAATCGGGAGGCCTGGAGACACACCATCTATAACGCAGCTGTCTCCTTCGAGAACACACGCAGGATCACTCTTGAAGAAAAAAGGCAGCGCAGAAAGAACCGTAAATTGCAGAATACACCATCTAAGGAGTCTTTCTGCTGTGCCTTTTGCAATCGTTTATGTCTGTCACGTATTGGCCTTATAAGCCACCAACGTGCCTGCAGCAAATGTGGATAGAGCCTTCCCAAATCTTCGTTCGCGAAGCCTCGCCATGATGACCCAGACAAATTATTTTAAATACATATTTATACCAATAAAGTTTAAAAACCAGAAAACCTTTACTACTTCTAAGAGTTCATCTTGGTTCAATTGTCTTTTAAAATGTCTTTGCCTTCAAACAGAAACCTTCTAGATAGATCATCTCCTGAATCACTCCATCTACTCCCCTCAATACACAGTTAATGCCCTATGAAAAGCAAAGTTTTGTTTTATGAAACTCTCTGTGATAGACTCAGATTTTGTTAAAAGGAATACAGTAAAGGGGATGTGATATGCATTGGTAACAGTGTAAGTTTTAGAGGGAATTGTGTTTGCCTTCTATAGCAATCCTAAACTTTGTAGACCTTTCAACAAAATAGGCATCCATCCAAGAAATTTCCCATTAGTAAGAACGTGTCAAGCATTAGCTTTTTGAGAACCTCACTGGCAGCATTAAAAGCAGACCATTCCTGGCATCGGATAGTGATGTGCATCTTAACTAAAGGAAGAGGCCTGTTTTTTCTTTCTTGGTATTGGTTTTGTGTGGAGTTTCTTTTGTTTGTTGTTATTTCTGCTACACAAAAAAAACCCTTCAGAACCATAGACTCACAGAATAACATTCTTGCTAATCTGAATTTACCACCACTTAGTTCCACTGGAACAGTGGAGGAACTGACTCCAAAAAGGAAAATAAACCAACATGCATAGGGGTAGGTACTGTATTAAGTGATTAATTAATTCAATATAAAACCATAAAAAGAAGTGTGAAGCCTAATTGTCTAGCATCATCAGCTGGCTAAACATGAACCAGCAGTGTGCTGAGGTGGCCAAGAAGGCCAATGGCTAGGATCAAAAATAGTGTGGCCAGCAGGACCAGGGGAGGGATTGTCCCCCTGTACTCAACACTGGTGAGGCCATACCTTGAGTACTGTGTCCAGTTCTGGGCCCTTAACTTCAAGAAAGATATTGACGTGCTGGAGTGAGTCCAGAGAAGGGCAACAAAGCTGGTGATGGGTCTGTGAGGAGCAGCTGAGGGAGCTGGGGTTGCTTAGCCAAGAGAAAAGGAGTCTCAGGGGAGACCTTATTGCTCTCTACAACTATCTGAAAGGAGGTTGTAGCAAGGTGGGCATTGGCCTCTTCTGCCAGACAGCTAGCAACAGGACAAGAGGACGGAGCCCCAAGCTGCACCAGGGGACATTCAGTCAAGATATCAAGAGGAATTTCTTCATGGAAAGGGGTTTTAAGCATTAGAATGGACTACCCATTCTAATGGAAGGTAATGGATTCTCCACGCTTGGTGGTGTTCAAGAAATGACTGGATGTGACACTTAGTGCCACATAGGTCTACCTGGCACAAGGTGTTGATCAGTCAGAAGTTGGACTTGATGATCTTAAAGGTCTTTTCCAACCTAAATGATTCTGTGATTCATATACAGGTTGGACAATATAAGCCTTAATGTGATAAATCTCTTCCGTGACTCTGTCTTGATGTGAAATTTTCCAGCTTATTTGGCATGCAATATTTTTATGCAAGACATTTGAAAGGCAAAAATATAAAATTCAATTAGAAACAGTAAAAGGATTATTTAACATCCATGTATATTTAAAAGCCATCATCAATTTCATAAATGATAAACCACTTCTCTCTAAGCAGCAAGATCACTCAAAAAAAAATTAAAAAAATTATCCTGGTGTCATGTTACGAAGAGAAAATCATAAAGGAAGTTTAGATATGGAGTTTCCTTTTACATCATCACTGGCCAATGTCAATGGAGAACCGACCTTATTCACCTAAATTTTCATTCAGATGACTCAAACATGACTCACTCATACCTCTGAGACATGGAATACATTGCTGGTAAATATTTGATAAATGCAGCTTATGATAATGGCAACTTATATCCTTTTCCTTCCCCTGGCATTTGTAAGAGAACAACTCCTGACCTGTTAAAACAACATCAGAGTCTCAATACCAATTTCGAATGCAAAAGGCTAGAGGCTAAAGACTTTCATAAGAAATAGTCTTGAATTCTAAGATGTACTTGCAGGCTTTTATATTTTTCACATCCCAGAGTTTCTTATTATCCAGTTTTTGATGTATTCTGAATAAAAGCAACCTTTTTTTTCCAGTCAATGAGCCTCTGTTCTCCAAGAACACAAAAGGTGAAGCAAGTTTGCTTCTAATGCAGTTTGGATTTCTGATCATGCTGTGGAGCAAAATGTTTTTGCATTTCACTTTAGAGTCAGGATGGGATAGGGAGAAAAAAAATCAATAACCTCCCCACAAATATCACAAACCAGAAGAACCCTTGACCTGAAATTTTAGTTCAGTGAGGAACACTGGATTAGAGAGGAAATTTTTTGCCTTACCACTAAGCCAAATAAGTTTGTATGCCTTTCTGGACTGCCTCTTAGCTTCAACAGGAGCA